CTCACCCTCATAGCAGCTGCCTAATAGCTCCTCACTGAAATATACTTCTGCATCAGTGTTCCACGGACACTCTCAGGGACAGAGCCTGCAGTGAGCTGTAAAGCAGGAAGAGCTGTTTTTCTATCCACTGGAAAATATTTCTAAGACAAAGCCTGGTCCTTTGAAGCATTAGCTAGGATTTTATGCCATGGGCAAATTAATGGCATTCCTGCACAGTGGGGCTCCGCAGAGGGAAAACTGGGAGAGCCAGTACTTTACCACCGCAGTTCCTGAATTATGACATCAAGATTAAGTCAGAGGGCTTCCCTGGTGGCGCAGTGGTTGAGAATCTGCCTGCCAGTGCAGGGGACATGGGTTCGAGCCCTGGTCTGGGAAGATCCCACATGCCGCGGAGCAACTAGGCCCGTGAGCCACAATTACTGAGCCTGCATGTCTGGAGCCTGTGCTCCACAGCAAGAGAGGCCACGATAGTGAGAGACCCATGCACCGCGATGAAGAGTGGCCCCCACTTGCCGCAACTAGAGAAAGCCCTCACACAGAAACGAAGACCCAACACAGCCATAAATAAATAAATAAATAAATAAAATTTAAAAAAAAAAGGTTAAGTCAGATAACAAATTCCAGATCCTGTATGAAGATGGGGAAGGCATTCCTAATATTCCATTATGATTGTTTCAGAGTTTCCAGGCCTGGACTGCATCAAATTTCCCAGCCATTTTATTTGCCTTAAACACGTTCTTTGGGACTTCCCTGGTGGTTCAGTGGTTAAGAATCCGCCTTCCAATGCAGGGGATGCGGGTTCAATCCCTGGTCGGGGAACTAAGATCCCACCTGCCTTGGGGCAACTAAGCCTGCAGACCGCAATTGCTGAGCCCACTCACGGCAATGAAGATCTTGCATACCACAAATAAAGACCAGATGCAGCCAAAAAAATAAATATATATATATATATTTTAAAATGTTCTTTGTTTCTTGTTTTTTTAATTAATTAATTTATTTTTTGGCCGCACCACATGGCATGCAAGATGCAGGATCTTAGTTCCCCAACCAGGGATCAAACCCATGCCCCCTGCAGTGGAAGTGCAGAGTCCTAACCACTGGACCTCCAGGGAATTCCCTTAAACATGTTCTTTGAATGCTTACCAAGTCCTCTATACACTTCCTAAAGTTTGGAGTGTCTCATCCTGCTTCCTGTGACAAGATATGTAAAAACCTTCTCTGTAAACACAGAAAAAATGTGTTTGTCTAATACATCCCACAATTTGTCCTTTCCATGTTGAGTCATGTGTATGTGAACCATATACACTGAGTCAAGAGATAGACTTAGGAGCAACCAAACAACCATCTTGGTGTTTCCAAAGTCCATCTAAGTGGATCAAACATCCAGCTATCTCCCATCCAATTCTTCCTGAGTCTGAAGTTGCTATTTGAGCCATGTAGATCTCTTTTATGATTTCCTTAGGAGTCATCCTAAAGAAGTACTCTTCCTCATGTGGTACATATATACAATGGAATACTACTCAGCCATAAAAAAGGATGAAATAATGCCATTTGCAGCAACATGGATGCAACTAGAGATTATCATACTAAGTGAAGTAAGTCAGAAAGAGACAAATACCATATATCACTTATATGTGGAATCTAAAATATGACACAAATGAACCTATCTACGAAACAGAAATAGACTCACAGACATAGAGGACAAACTTGTGGTTGCCAAGGGGGACAGGGTTGGGGGAGGGATGGAGTGGGAAGTTGGGTTAGCAGATGTAAGCTATTATATACGGAATTGATAAACAAAAATGTCCTATTGTATAGCACAAAGCACTATATCAGTATCCTATGATAAACCATAATGGAAAAAAGTATTTTAAAAAAGAATGTATATATATGTATAACTGAATCACTTTGCTGTATAGCAGAGATTAACACAACATTGTTAGTCAACTATACTTGAATTAAAAAAAAATGTGAAAGAAGTTTTCTTCCTCAGGGGAGGGCGAAAATCCCACCAAAGGTCTAGAGCCTCAAAATGAAACCTAGGGGCATATTCCAGAAGCTTGGAAACTACTTAAATTTTGGGGGTGGTTGAGAAAGAGGCTGGTAATTTAGCAGATATATCAGGCATGCTGTGGGGAGTTCTCCTAAACTGACTTAGCAGGATTCTTGCTAAAACTAGATTTTGCAAGAAAGAATCCTTGGTGAAGAGAGGTTTCAGGGGAGATGGAGTAAAGTTTGGTCAAGCAAAGAATCTCTGTCAATATATACGTATACATACACCCATGTAGATACATACATACACATACACCCTATCTTACTGTATGGTCAGACCACTCAAGATGGCTATTCTCTTGCTCTCTGTACATCCTCTGCCCTACCAGTGTCTGCTTCATCTATACCTTACTCACATGACTGACATTCCTGTACACTTGCCCCAGGCCCCAGCTAGAGATTATTGTTGTTGTTTTTTTAATTGGGGTATAGTTGTTTTACATAGAGATTGTTCTTACCAAAGGGACAGTGAGGGGCATGCCCCTCTGCTGGTTTCCCTGGTAACTAATGAACCAACCTAATGTCAATTCCCCCCATAACTGGCAATCTTCCCTTCCCCTGGGTGTGAAGACCGCCCACAGGCTGCAGCACACAGTGGGATGTCGCTCCAGGACCTTGCTTCAGACGTGTAGGATCCCCCATCCATTAAACCATTGATGTCTCTGTTGCTGACTCCAGGCTCTTTCTTTGGTCTTGAAGCTGAGCAAGTGCAGGCCTTGTAGGCCTTCAGAGTATAGCCCAACACTTACTCAAAAAGTAGCATATTGTAATATTGTTCTCCACCCATCTTTTTTTTTTTTTTTTTTTTTACTGAAATTATCTTGCTGAACACTCTACATCACTATGTAGAGATATTCCTTTTTTAAAAAAAAATACATTTATTTATTTATTTTTGGCTGCACTGGGTCTTCGTTGCTGCACGCGGGCTTTCTCTAGTTACGGCAAGCGGGGGCTACGCTTCGTTGCAGTGCACGGGCTTCTCATCGTGGTGGCTTCTCTTGTTGCGGAGCACGGGCTCTAGGTGCGCAGGCTTCAGTAGTTGTGGCACCCGGTCTTCAGTAGTTGTGGTTTGTGGGCTCTAGAGCACAGGCTCAGTAGTTGTGGCACACGGGCTTAGTTGCTTCCACAGCATGTGGGATCTTCCCAGACCAGGGCTCGAATCTGTGTCCCCTGCATTGGCAGGCAGATTCTTAACCACTGTGCCACCAGCGAAGCCCTAGAGATATTCTTTATTCCTTTGTCACCTGCAGAAGACTCCATTGTATGGAGGTGGCATAATCTCTTTGATTTAGGTGTGTCTCCTATATATACCATAGAATTGAGTTAGCTTGTTTTTTAATGTCATAAAACAATTTATAACATTAGAATGTGATTACCAATTCTACACTATCTATGTATGAACTATCTATGAATGGCTGCCATAGAAAATGTTTCCTTCCACTTAAATTAGGCCATTGTTTGGATAAGCAGGACAAAATGCTGGGAAAGCAGTAGTCTTATGTGCTTTGCACATCATCTTGGACACTGTGGCTTCACAAAAGACGTCTCATGACATGGCCAACAATTTTCAGAGAGGCCCATTTCCTAAGTCCAGCGAGAATAAACTTAAGATGAGATAAATATACATCGACTGGGCGCTGTCTCTGACATTTTATTTCTCTTTTATAGCTTAACTGAAAAGAGTATGATGCTGAAACAGACTGAGCCAATTAAAAAAATTCTCCTCAGCATGTGAATTGTGACTTCACTGAGGGTTTTTGGCAATGACCATCTGTCTGAAAGTTTCAAAGTCACCCATTAATCACACTGAGCACCACAGGTTAGGGAGACAATCTTTGTAGATGTTTCCACTGTTCAGAAACACACAGAGCCACTGAGTTCATTCCTGTTCTGTGTTGTGATATGCTGGTTGTATGACCAGCAAATAGGAGTAAAGCACCAGGCAGTGATGAGCCAAGCTCTCTGGACCAGGCACAGCTGTGCTTTTCTGAATACACATCCTACCTAGACATTATGACATAATCAGTTCAGAGCTTAGATACAGGGTACAAGGATACGTTTTCCCTCATAGCCCAGAAACACAACATCAGGAGATTACAAATTGTGGCCTGGCATCATCTTTGACTAGAAAGTCACTCCTTTTCTGCTTCCAGACTCAGGAAGTCTATTGACCCTCCTTTATGACTTATCTTCTCAATCACTCTTGAACTGAAATCCTCTTGAATAATGAATTTATCAGACAAAAAAGATAATGATACATACTGTCAACTGATGAGCTATTAACATAATTGTCCCTGCTTTCTACTCCAAGGACAAGGCAAAGTTTTCTCAAGCTTGATTCCCTTTGGGATAGCCCTATAATGTTAGCCACTACAAACCAAATAATCACTACGTGCCAGGGACTGTATCAGGCAAGTCAATTCATGTGCTTTCTTTCTTTTTATTCCATCTTTACAACAACACTGTGAGGTATATTCCCAAAGTTTTTTGTTTGTTTCAAGACAAACTTACCCGGGTTACCTCACACAATGAGACTTTAATATAATTATAATGATTCCTTGGCTGCGCCACATGGCTTGTGGGATTATAGTACCCCCACCAGAGATCGAACCCAGGCCCTTGGCAATGAGAGCGTGGAGTCCTAACCACCGGACCGCCAAGGAATTCCCTATAATGATACCTCGAATGATGAAGTTATTATTATTTTTTAAGGATTTTAGCATGGTGTTGTGTATGTGAGTTACAATTTGGTTTGGCAAAATATAATAAAATATAATAACAACAAACTCAAAGTAGTAGTGACCCAAACACATAAAGGCTTATATTTTTAATGAACAATAAGTTTGGAGGTGGGAGATTGTAATACAGCCTCAAGAATTTCCAGGCTGAGGTCTCGAGGAGTCTAGGCTTTTTGTAACATCTCTCCTGCACTTTTCCTTCCCTTGTAGTTCCTAAAGAGCTGCTGAATCTTCAGTCATCTGGTCGACCTTCCAAAGCATACCTCCAAAGCAGAGCCAGCTTTTCTTCAAGCCCCAGCCCATGTTTTCTACATAAATCCTAGTGGTCATTCTCAGCATCCGTGGAAGCTGGGAAATGTAGCGTTTTATCTGGATACAACAACAATATTTATTTCCTAAATAAAATTGTGGTTCTGAAGGTAAGAAAGAAGAAAGCAATGGATTTTGAGGAGGCAGTTATTGTCCCTGCCACAAAGTGGATAGGTAATAATAGCACTTCATCAACAGATTGTATAAGTGAAAAGCACTTTGGGCAATTCATAGCAAAGTAATAATAATATAAACGTTTATTGAGACCTTACTCTTTATGTGCTTTACTATACTGTCTTATAGAAATCTCACAACACTCTGATGTAGATAATATCACGATCCCCATTCTCCAGATAAGCCTGTGGCACACAGGCTTAGTTGCTTCCACAGCATGTGGGGTCCTCCTGGACCAGAGCTTGAACCTGTGTCCCCTGCACTGGCAGGTGGATTCTTAACCACTGCGCCACCAGGGAAGTCCCCAAAAATAAAATTTACTTAATTATGTATATGTAATTAAAAGTCAGAATAATCGTTGCAGGAAGGGGGGCCAATTCCAGGGCCTGAGATTGGGCTCTTGTCTAACACTTGGAAATAAGTTGTACAAGGAGACACACTTGGTGACAAAGCAAGAGACTTTATTGGGAAGGGGCACCTGGGCGGAGAGCAGGAGGGCAAGGGAGCCCAGGAAAACCGCTCTGCCATGTGGCCTGCAGTCTCAAGTTGTATGGTAATGAGCTTAGTTTCCAGCTAGTCTCTGGCCAGTCATTCTGACTCAGGGTCCATCCTGATGGTACATGCATTGCTCAGCCAAGATGGATTCCAGCGAGAAGGATTCTAGGAGGTTGGTAGGACATATGGACTGGCATTTCCTCTGTCCTTTTGACCTTTCCCGAATTCTTCTGGTAGGTGGTAGCTTGTTAGTTCCTCGTTCCTTACCAGGAACTCCTGTCCTAAGATAACTCATGCAAGTGGTTACTATCACGCCTGGCCACGGCAGGCAGTTTCAGTCAGTGGTTCCCTTAACATAATCACAGCAATATTTTTTAGAACTTGAAGATTTTAAAGAACTTAAAGATTTTTTTTCAGTTGTTTAGAATTGCTGGCACACAGTGATCACAAAAAGCAGAAGGGCTTTAGCTGGTTTTATTACTGGTTTAAAATTCACTAAAGACAGAGCTCTCTATTATTGTCTGCACGGGGCAGATCTCTTCCATTGCTCTTCCTTTTCACCCACCAGTGTTCCATAGTTAAGCTAGTTGAAGCCGGTTTTGTTGATTTAATCATACTTTATAATGCAGTCAGGTTTTAGAAGGGAAGCACTGGGAATTCATATTTTTTAAGTGACCAAACCTGAAATTCCTTATGCAATAAAAATGATTGCCCAATGACTTACCTTTCTGTGTACGCAATTGTCCTAAACTGAAGAAACTCAAGAGGAAAAGAATCGGAAAGGGACATGAGGGCTGCAAGTGCAGACTCCCAGAAGATCCAGATGAATGTGGTCCATGAGTGAGTGAGTGAGGCAGGGGAGAAAAGTGTCGACGTGGAAAGAAATGCCCTGCCGGAAGTGGCCAGGTGGCATGAGGCGCGGCCCCTACTCAGCCTCATCCAAATGTATCCTCGTGGGATGCAGGCCCATGGTTACCCTGATCTGGGAATTTTTTCATGAGGAGCCAACAATCTGATGTCTGTGTAAGATCCCTTGATTTTTAAATGATGGAAATTAATTCAAACTCTAGAAAACACTGTGCACTGCAAACAAAACACATCTGCAGCTGCAGTACGCTCGCAGGCTACCAATTTCCTAATGAAAAACGCAAGCAGTGATTGAACCGGTTACAGAAGCCAAGAAAATACGCTTTATTCTTCGATCCTTTTCCTTTCCCCAAATGTGACATTTTAGAAAAATCCGGATACACTTACATCATATCCATATATCCATAATCTGCAGCTTAACAAGAAAAGCAGCGTAATTAGAGTAAAGAGTCTGAACGTCCAGAGCCCTCCTTTCTCTCGAGTCAGAGCCAAGGATGGTGTCACCCAGATGCCTGTTAACTAAGAGACATACACCAGATTTATTTAACCACTGGCAAACCGCTTTTTTTTTTCCCCTAGGGCAATAAGTTAAAAGATTATTTACCTCCCTTGGTTACAAAAAGAGGAAATACTTCTTCCAAGACTCGGGGTAGCTGCGGCCAGTTCTCCCGGAGAAATTATTTTACCACAAAGATTCAGAGCACAGAGCCCGGAAGCCTTTGCCCACCAGCCTCTCTGCCGCTGCACTGCATGGGCACCTTCTGAGAGGTGAGTGTTTTATTAGCCTCCAAAAGTTTCAGGCCCTGAGCATCTGAGATTGATAGTTAAGAACATCATTCTAAATCCCTGTATGTAGATTTCATTTGATTTGGCATTTGGCATATTAAAAGAGAAGGTTTTTTTCAAATGAAAAACAATAGAAGCTGTTCCCCGCCCCCCCCCATTTCCACAGGGAATTAAAGCTTTGTGTATCTTAATTAAAAAGCTATTTGCTAAATCCTTTAACAGAATTTCTAAGTATCCTCAAGGTTGGGTTCCTGCAGGGGCCAAACAGAATTTAAAGCAAGAATTTGATGAAGCCTTTGTCCTCTGTGCCCATTAAGAATTCTCTGGTTTAAGTTGCATGGAAGCTGCCCCGTATGGCCAGGTGGGCATGGCTTCTCTATGTGACCTCCCAGAAACACCAGAGTCTGCAACTGTGAGTCCCGAGGAAAAGCTTTGCATGGTCCCAAGCCTTACTGTTAACCCAGTAAAGACCCCAAAGTCTAATCTCTGACTCTGTCTACCACAAAGAAACAGGCCTAAGAAGGGCATTTACACATGAAGGCAGTCATCTCCCTGTATAAGAGGAAAAAAACTCAAAAGAAGTGAAGTCTTTCCCTTTTTCACAAATTAGTTTCTTTTAAAAGAAAATGTCCATCTGTATCATATTATCTCTTTTCTAGTGGTTATGTTCTGGGTCAATTTTTTTTTCTTTTTTTTGCAAACAACAACAAAAAGGCTAGAAATAACCGTTAACAAAAACCAATATGACCTGATTATATTCTCCCAAATGTCTATTTCTGAAATTTCTATCTTCAGAGTATTCAGGTGTTTGGGGCAAGTGTGCTATTTTAACATCAAACAAGAAAAGAAAAGAATAAAGATATTCTTGATCATATCGTAAGATGGGAGGCCAAGTTGCTGACCCCAATTTTTTCTGGAGGGGTTGGAGTAGGGAGAGGGGATGATCATCTTAAAATTGCCCAGTCCATTCTAACTACTAGAGCTTCACTTGATTAATAGAAAGCCTGTCTTTTAAAATGGAACCTCGGGACTTCCCTGGTGGTGCAGTGGTTAAGAACCCGCCTGCCAATGCAGGAGACATGGGTTTGATCCCTGGTCCGGGAAGATCCCACATGCTGCGGAGCAACTAAGCCCGTGTGCCACAACTACTGAGCCTGCGCTCTAGAGCCCGCGAGCCACAACTACTGAAGCCTGCGCACCTGGAGCCTGTGCTCTGCAACAAGAGAAGCCACCGCCATGAGAATCCCATGCACCGCAGCAAAGAGTAGCCCCTGCTTGCCACAACTAGAGAAAGCCTACATGCAGCAACGAAGACCCAACGCAGCCAAAAATTAAATCAATAATAAAATAAAATGGAATTTCTTCAAAAGAACAATTTTCTAACAGTGAAATTTCTAGCATCAGTGGAGAAAAGCTATTTTTAGAGAAAGATCCCATTCCCCAAAACAATATGATAGAGGCACTGTGTATCTTCCCCTCTGAGCCCAGCTGGCCCTATAGACCTGCTTATACACATGTGCCCCTCTGGAAAGACCCCTTGAAACCCTGACCACACGAGGCTTCAGAGAACTTGCAGTGATTTAGAACGTGCTGGAACCGTCCTGAAAGCCTTTCATTTGGCAGAAGTCATTCCTGCCCCTTCCTCCTAGTCTCTCAATTCTGGAAACATCTCCTCTCACAGAGAGCTGCACAGTCTAATAGTTACGTGTCTTAAGAGCATGGTGTTTGGAGTCAGAATGCTCAGGACTGAACTCCAACTCTGCAATTCACAGGAGAGGTTCCCTTAACAGACCTCCAATGAACGGACTCACCAGCTTAACCAATGCAAGTAAGTTATGTCTAGCACACCTGAGCACTTCAGCTTTAACTACTTTTGAATAAAGGATCGACTATAAGGCAAACCTTAGGACGTCAGAGGGAGCTCCTCAGACACATAGCAGACTCTAGACTATAGGGCTGATTAGGAGAGAGATTTTAGTTAATGTCCTTGATTTGGGGGGACCAATTTCAAAGCTAAATAAACTTCTGTTACAACTCGGTTGTTTTAGGTGGTAGGTAAAACGTAAAAATAAAAAGGCTGACATATTTTCCTGGGTTTCAGGGTGGGCTGTGTTTAAACTATGCTTGGCACACAGTAAATGCTTGTGAAATGTCATTTCTTTTGTCTTCTTTCTCTGTCCTTTGCTGCTCAATGCTTCTCACTCCACTACCGGAAAATAAACCCAAAACCATATAAAGTAACCAAAACTTCCTGAAATTCTCCTCAAAAATGTCTTTTATAGATGAAATTGTGCTTTTGTGTGATTACAGAAGACAGCATATAACTCAGTAAATACTAATATAGCTGATGCCAAGGGGTGGGAACTGGTGACTGGATATCACCTCCAGCAGATGGTTTACTATGACCTCCTTCACCAACTCAGATAACACTGACAAAAGATACACCCTGTTTATTAATAGTGATTATTTCTGTGGAATCAAGGGACTAGGGGCAAACGTGGGAGAGTGTACATCCTTATGGTGCTGGGGGATATTTGTAATTTGAAAAAGCGTACCCACTCCCTCCCCCAGGGTTATTCCGATCTGCTCCCACCCCACCCTCAGTGGAGATTGCTGCTTTCGATTTTCTAGACTTTGTCTTTTAGAGGAGGAAAAATAATTTTCCTTCTACCTTTCATTGTTCCTGGCCAAGTACCCCGCTCCCACCCCGTAAAAAAGACAGAATAATAGAGGGAAAAAAATTTTTTTAATTAATTAATTTATTTCTGGCTGTGTTGGGTCTTCATTGCTGCGCGGGGGCTTTCTCTAGTTGTGGCTACTCTTCGTTTTGTTGCACGGGCTTCTCATTGCAGTGGCTTCTCTTGTTGCGGAGCACGTGCTCTAGGCATGCGGGCTTCAGTAGCTGTGGCACGCAGCCCAGTAGTTGTGGCTTGTGGGCTCTAGAGCGCAGGCTCAGTAGTTGTGGTGCACGGGCTCAGTTGCTCTGCGGCATGTGGGATCTTCCCGAACCAGGGCTCGAACCCGTGTCCCCTGCATTGGCAGGCGGATTCTTAACCACTGCACCACCAGGGAAGCCCTAGAGGAAAAAATTTTTAAATTATATACATACAGGAGCCCCACTTAAAAGGTGGCCAGAAGATTGAGGATTATATTCCATCCTGAACTAAGGAAAGGGATGGGGTCTGGGGCTTAAAGGTCCAGGAAGGCAATTCACCAGAAAGTGAAAAGAGGAATGTTCGGTAAACAAAGGCGGCTGGGTCAAGCAGATAAGTCTCTCAGATGAAGAAGTATAATAGCTGTCTTCCTGATACAGACCCCTTTTCTCATGTAAATTTTCTTTACAAATGTAAAATTTCCCTTACAACTGGGTAACTTCTATTCTGTTTTCAGAGCTTCTTCTATGCCTGCAGTTCATTAAAATAAACAGCTCAAAATAATTCTTACTCTCCGAAGAGGCATATTTCGCAGTGGCACATTCTGCTAAGCCCTCAGCATTCACAGCAGACAAATGCAAATTGTGTGTTCTTCTGGCTGCTCAGCTAACAGTGTTCAGTTAGCTTGCCTAACAACGTTTTATGACCCAATAATGTTCAGTTTCTCAAGCTGATGTTAGACGTTATGAAAATCACATTAGCTTTGCAGACGGACAAGTCAGCCGCATCAAGGCTGGCTTCCTGTCAGCCTCCACACATCTCACCCCGTGAGTTTCTGAATTCTGAGTCCTGCTTCAGGTACACAGACATGCCCTCATCTGCCAGGGCCACAGATAAGATGAGAGATAAGAATCAGACCTTTAATTTCCTCAAAGCCTGGAAAATTCTCAACCCACCTAAGTAAAGAAATAAAAATTAAAATACATATTTAACTGGGATGAATTGGGTGATTGGGATTAACATATATACACTAATATGTATAAAATAGATAACTAATAAGAACCTGCTGTCTAAAAAAATAAAATTAAATTAAAAAAAAAAAACATACCTAACTAAGGTGTGATTTTGATTCTTCCCTATCAGAAATACACTGAAACCCAGGAAATAAAATCTCTCTCCTAATGAGCCCTGGCGCATTTGAAGAGCTCTCCTTTGACATTCTAAGGTTCTTTTCATCCCATTGTTGGAATGAAATTTTTTTTAATAAATTTATTTTATTTATTTATTTTTGGCTGCATTGGGTCTTCGTTGCTGCGCACGGGCTTTCTCTAGTTGCGGCGAGCCGGGGCTACCCTTCTTTGCGGTGCGCGGGCTTCTCATTGCGGTGGTTTCTCTTGTTGTGGAGCACGGGCTCTAGGCACACGGGCTTCAGTAGTTGTGGTACGTGGGCTCAGTAGTTGTGGCTCGTGGGCTCTAGAGCGCAGGCTCAGTAGTTGTGGTGCACAGGCTTAGTTGCTCCGTGGCATGTGGGATCTTCCCAGACCAGGGCTCGAACCTGTGTCCTCTGCATTGGCAGGCGGATTCTTAACCACTCTGCCACCAGGGAAGTCTGGAATGAAATTTAAATTGACTTTTCATAAGCAAAAGTCCACCCAAACAAAGGAGGGATTGGTGCCTCCCCCATCACTGGTTTTCAGCCTGCGGCACTGCAGCCAACAGTAATGATTTCTATTCAAAAAACAAACCTCAGTTACACACGTGTACACGCTGAGTAAAAGAATTTGTGCAGTGTGTTCATTGCTTACTTTTCTCCTGGAATACATGATGAATTTTTATGGAGGGTAGGATAGGAAGGGAAGAACCACATTCAAGTGAAACCCAACATCATTCTTCTCTACAGTGTCATTTCAAAAGCCAGATAAAAGCCAAACGAGGAGGCTGGGAGAAGAGTGTCCAACGTAGCTGTCCTGAAAACCACCCTCCATTTCATTCTGGAGCAGGGAGGTTACACCACACATCAGAAAAGCTTCTCTCCTCGCAGAAAATTAACTGGTAAGTAAGTGCTTTCTTATTTTCTTTGAACTGCCGCGTTTGGAACTGACCTGATGAGGATGCCTGCAGATGGTTTATTTATAAAGCGGTATTTGGACTAACTACCAGCTGGCAAAAAAGGAAAAGGACTCCCGATAGTTTATGAAAAGCTCTCTGTGCAGATTCATATTTTTGGTCCTGTCAAAAGTGTTTAGGAAGAGTGTAACAGGGTTTACAACAGCCGTGATTAAATCTAAAACACTGAGAGAACAGGAGGAGGTTGGTAGGGTAGGGGTTGGGAGGGCACAATGAACTTTCAGTCATTTCCTCAGCTTTTACCTAGCAAATTACAACTCATAAATGTAGTCTTGACTCAGAAATGTCAAACATCATTAGTGGAAAGCCCACTGTAGTGAAATCGAGTAGGAGGAAATGGTGCTCAAGATGAAAATTGACTTTGCCCTCCTTCAATTACAAGGCAGGAAAAAAGTTCTAAATTGAGTTGTAATGTGGCTTGGTTTTCTCCTGTCTTTTGAAAATGAATAGCTTGTGGCTCTTCAAAACAAACATTTCTTTGTTGTTGCTGCGTTTTTTGAAATCTCCTAATCAATTGCCTGTTAGAATAATTGGTACCTGGGCTCATCTAATGAAGGACAAATGGCTAATTGAAGGCAAGTACTTGGAAGAAAAGGTTCAGCTAACTTGACTGTTCTTTTGGTAGTCAGATAACTGGGAGTACCAGTTGTTTTTTGTCTGATAGTTTACCCTTCCCTCCAAATGAAAGCTAGTGAAAACCCAATGAAAATTTGATAACGGAACTTTCACCAGCAATTATTCTCTTAAATTGGCCCTTCTCACTTAAAAAAAAAACTCGTTCACCCAAGCTTCCACAGACTTGTTGCTAAATTAATCCACTAGTATGTTTTGTTTTGTTTCGTGAAAAATTCAAGGGACTGCTCTTGAATCTCAAATTACCTAGTTCAAATAATTCCTCTTTCTAAATAATTCTCATCATGTTTGCACTTCTTCCAAACACTAAATGATTTTTAAGTTTTTTCACGGCCTTTATTTATGATTTTACCCAAGACTTAAGTCCTTCAGTTTATAAAAGAATGTCATACATTTTCTGTGTTACTTTACCACTGTCCTCTCCCCGAGAGATAGCTATTTAACCCAACATTCCCCTTTCAAAGGCTACAGCAGTTGAAGCTAACTCATGGAAGTAATTTTAAAAGAAGAAAAAGTTTTATGCTAAAAGACTTTTTTCCGAATTGCTTATAATTTTTAAAAGTCAGAAGCTATCTAAATATCCAACAAATATGCAACAAATAGCTTTCTAGTGCAACCCAAATCTATAGTTGCACTAGAAAGCTGGTTAAGAAACATCTTGTATATTATCTCAATGGAAATATTTAGTAGTCATTAAGTTATAATTTGGAGGGATATGTAGCATCATGGATGAGTACTCATAATACTAACAATAATTATAATTATGTAAAAAAGTAAATGGAGTTGAAAAAATTGAAGAAAAATATGCAAAATTGAAAATGGTTGTGTTAAGCTGATAGTGAACTGATGGTATATCAGGGAGGAAAAACTTTTACTCTGTCCTCTTAAGTTCTGTTTCTGAAGGCCTGTGAATTAAACTAACGAATGACAGATTAGCAAGAGACAACACAAAATTTAATCATGTATTTTTATTAACATACATAGGGGAGTTCACAGAAAAATGTGACTCAAAGGGAAGGCTAGAATTTGGAGCTTATATACCATCTTAAGGGGAAGGGAAGAGAGAGAAGGATACTTAGAGGAAAACAAGTGACTTCTTAATAAGGGAAGGGGAGGGGGAGAAAGGGGACTTATGGGAAAACAAATGACTTTTTAGAAATATAAATGGTCTTTAGGAGAATAGATAGGCGATATGATAGTTTTTGTGACATTGTCTGTTTAGATATGATGCGGAGACTTCTCATCTATGGTGATGAGTCAACCTTTTCTTGTTGCTCCTGGGGAGGGGATTTATGACAATTGAGTTCTTTTGGGACCTCAAATGCCTTCTGCTCAAAATAATTTTTATGCCACAGTAGCATGTGCTGGACCCCTTCAGATGATATAGCTCTTCTTTTTTCCCCAAATTTTCTCTAATAGTCCATTACTTGTATAATTTTAAAACTTTAAAATCTTGAAAAGTCCCATCTATTTTTTTCTTCAGGTCTCAATTTTCATATAAACCACAAAAAGTTAAACCCTCAATCTGGTTGGGGGTCTTCAGTTCTAATTCACCTGGTTTCTTTGGTGGCATTTAACTTAGTAAAGGTTCCTGCCTCATAAAACTTCTTTTTTAAAAAGAAAATTTATTGAAGTATAGCTGTCTTACAATGTTGTGTTTAATTTCTTTTTTTTTCTTTTTCTTTTTTTTAAAGTTCATTTATTTATTTATTTTTGGCTGCGTTGCTGCACGCGGGCTTTCTCTAGTTGTGGCGAGCAGGGGCTACCCTTTGTAGTGGTGCGTGGGCTTCTTATTGCAGTGGCTTCTCTTGTTGTGGAGCACGTGCTCTAGGTGCGCAGGCTTCAGTAGCTGCGGCGTGCGGGCTCAGTGGTTGTGCCCTTGCGGGCTCTAGAGCGCACGCTCAGTAGTCGGTGGTTCACAGGCTTAGCTGCTCCGTGGCATGTGGGATCTTCCCAGACCAGGGATCGAATCCATGTCCCCTGCATTGGCAGGCGGATTCTCAACCACTGTACCACCAAGGAAGTCCCCTTGTTTTTAATTTCTACTGTACAGCAAAGTGACTCAGTTATTACATGTATATATTCTTTTTCATATTCTTTTCCATTACAGTTTATCACAAGCTATTGAGTATAGTTCCCTGTGCTCTACAGTAGGACCTTGTTGTTTATCCACCCTACATATAAAAGTTTGCATCTGCTAATTCCAAACTCCCAATCCATCCCTCCCCCACCCCCACTGCCTCATTAAACTTCTAATGAAAGTAGTAAAAGCCAAGACCACAATAAAAACTGATAGTATAAAAATTTTAAAGATAGAAAAAACATAAGTAGCTAAATGAAGGTTAGTAACGCAGCATTATCTTAAATTGGACAATTTCCAAACATGCCCCCAATCTGTGGTTCCACAATATCTTTATATTTGCTATTTTGCTTCTGTCTGTCACCCCAGAGTTTAATCCCAACTATGCCTCTATCTTGTTTCATGGCTTGAGGCAGAGAAAACTTCATGGGCCTCAGTTTCCTTTCCTCTTAAATAAACCTGACGGGCAAGGTTCCTTCCAGTACTCCAATCTCACCCCCTTCCCCTTTTTTCAACCTCTGCTTACTAAGTCATTGCTCAGTGTGATATATATAATGGGTTCCTAGCACATACAGTGGGTGCCTAATAAATATTTGGTGAGACAAATCTTTTATTCAGATTCTATGTTTTCATATTCTTCAGTTATCATAGTATGTTCTGATTATTCCAAGATACTCACGTAAGATGAAAAATGCTCTTCATTGTTAAAGAAACTGGTGTCAGTTGGAACAAAGTAAATATAAGTCAGGCACAAACTTTTTGCTAGAAATTATTTGCAAGTCCAACCTTCAGCCTAATGAATATAATGGGCAAGATGATTCATTAGAAGGTAGAAGGGCAGGGGTTAAATAGACCCTGGCTTTGCCTCTGGAAGAGTTTCTCTCTGTGTGAAGCATACTGACCCAGGCAAGAGCCAACCATCCAACCTTAGTCTCATTGGCCCCTTGTTCAGCAAACACAATCAACCAGCCCATGTGAACTCAAGTGTGTGAAACACTGCATACAGCAAGTCTTTGCAGGATGAGCACAAATAAAGAATTTGCTTGTGATAAAGGAATTTATCACATCAAATAAAGAAGGTATGTTAGGGCTTTCTGAATGATTTAAATTTTGTTTTGTTTTGTTTTGTTTTGGAGGTTTGCTATTTTCCATTTTGGGGGTGGTGAAGGAAGTTGTTCATTTATCATTAACTAAGAGAAACCATCTTACATATCACATTCAGTCAAGCAAATATTGAACCATCAGCTGATTTGCTAGGAGAGGACACAAGGATTTTAATGGAAAGTTCTTGCCCTCAGTAAGCTTAGAGTTGGGCTGCCTGGGAGACATAATTAAGTTATTAAACTAAAAAGTTTTAAAACTGGGCTCCCCTGGTGGCGCAGTGGTTGAGAGTCCGCCTGCCGATGCAGGGGACGCGGGTTCGTGCCCCGGTCTGGGAGGATCCCACGTGCCGCGGAGTGGCTGGGCCCGTGAGCCATGGCCGCTGAGCCTGCGCGTCCAGAGCCTGTGCTCCACGACGGGAGAGGCCACAGCAGTGAGAGGCCTGCGTACCGCAAAAAAAAAAAAAAGAAAAATGCAGAGTTGTTTCCACTAAAACATCAGGGCACAAGCAGGCCTATTTTGGGTCTCCTCTAACAAAAAAAAAATCTATATAATGGAAGCGAATTGAGCCCACTGCCCTCACTTCATCCCCAGTCTCTAGCCAGCTTTGACAAGGCGAGTAGCCAGCACTCTGGCAGCACACCTGATGGAGTCGTGGTACCCAAGAGGAGCAAACGTGTCTACAGACACATGTAATGCATCTTCTGGAGGCCCTGGAAATACTTTTCAGTGAACTCTTCTCAAGTATGATCTCTTTATTGGGCAAACATAGTGGATATCACATCAGCCAATGGGGACACCTTAATGAATCCTGAATTAAAATTCTAAATACTACCCCATTTGTGCCCACTGTCAACAGGGGAGATTTTCAGGTTACAATAAAAATATACTTACATAGCACTTTACAGTTTTCACTGTGTTATTTCTGTTCTCTAGGAAATCCATGCCTAATTAAATTCTGCATTGAAGGTTCTCATTGTGTCCTGAAAACCTGTAATACCAGTGTTGCTGATATACATACAGTATTTCAGAATTTAACCAAGCCAGGTAATATAGGTGCAACTCAAAGCCAGGCTAACCCAACTAGGACCAAGAAATTCTCAAGTGGACT